GGAATCCAGGATCATGACCTGAGCCGAAGGCAGTCGCCTGACTGAGCCACCCAGGCGCCCCAGAGTGCGATTTTTAAACGAGACTTCTGATCTTGTCATTCTCTTTAAAAGGCTTCTCAGGGCTCTTATGGTCACATGGGATTCCCCTCATGTGCCTGACTGATCTAACTGCTCTGTCAGACTCACCCCCTAGCTCTTCCCTCATGTTTGGGCCTAGCTGCCCTGGCCTTTCACAGGGACTCAGGCCCCACACTCCTTCCTCTGTTCGGTGTACTGGGGATGTCCACCCACTTCTCCTCTTCATTATAGATAAACCCAGAGCACCCTGAATTACCTGTCAGAACTTGTAATCATGTATTTATTTTCACTGTTTGTCTTGCCCACTAGAGCATATGCCTCCGAGAGAGCGGGGGTTGGGTCCACTCTGTCTCCCACTGAGAATACCCAACAGGTGTTGTTAAACTCAGGAGGGAATGGTGGATTCGTGGTAGGTATGTGTGCCGTGACCCCAGGTGTCGGCCTCTGGTCTGGTTCTTCCCAGAAGCACTAGGGCCACAGGATCCCGACCTTCTCTGGTATCTTAGAGCTGCTTTCTCCTCCCTTTGTTCCTTCTTGGGCTCCTCCATCCCTGGAAACCCTTTGGAGCCTGACACTCACTGTCAGTGATGGCTTCACAGCCGCCTCATTCTTGACCCCCCTGGTCAGGGCTGGGCTCTCCTTTTGGTGTTGGAAGCTCCCCTGGGTGGATGTTATCAGGGAACAAAAAGGCAGACTTCTTGGGTCTCTACTTTGGTGCCTAGCTCTCCTGGTAGGTATCACAGAAAGGAAAGGGGGTAAGCCTTATGCCTGTGGGGTGTGATAAATCTTGGGGTATTAACACAGAAGACCCCCACCAAAAATTTCCACGCAACGTATATACAGACCATTCCCCAAGCCCCCATGAGGATTAGCCCGTGAGACTCAGGCACCATTAGTCAGGGTGAAGTTGGCACAGGTGAGAACAAAGAGGTGGTTGAGTTCCTGGGTGGGTTTTTTAAGCTCAAAGCCAAGGCAGTAGAATGTAGAGCTAAGGCTTTTGAATGTGATAAACAAGTGACTTGTGGAGAACAGTTTTTGATTTCTAACCATTTTACATCGAAAAAAGTAACCAAAGTTCTTAGAAACAAATTTTTTTTTTATTTTTAAAGATTTTGTTTATTTATTTGACAGAGAGACACAACAAGAAAGGGAACACAAGAAGGGGGAGTGGGAGAGGGAGAAGCAGACTGCCCGCGGAGCAGGGAGCCCGATGCGGGGCTTGATCCCAGGACCCGGGATCATGACCTGAGCCGAAGGCAGACGCTTACCAGCTGAGCCACCCAGGTGCCCCAGGAGCCATTTTAGAAACTGTCCACCACATATGTCAAAATTCTTGGAATGATTCTTGATCTTCTTTTCCCTCATACCTCATGTCCAAGTCACACTCCACGTCTTATTATCTCTATGTTCAAAACAGACCCGGAATCCAGTCACTCCCCACCACCTCCAAGGTACCGCCTTGGTCCATGTCAGTGTCTACTCACCTGGATTATTGCTATAGTCTCCTAACTCTGGTCTCCCTGCTCCCACCCGTGCACACCTCCGCCTCTTCCCCTCAGAGCGGCGAAGGATCCCATTACTCTGCAAACCCATCAGTGCCTGCCGATCTCAAGGAAAGCCAAGGGGAGTCCATGATGCCCTACCAGCCCCTGTCCGAGCTGCCCCGCCCCCATCTCCAGTCATGTTCCCACTTACACACTGGGCTCTTGCCACTGTGGACCCTTGACCTTCACAGTTCCCCTCAGGAACTCTGCCTTTGCTCTTCTCTCTTCATGGAACACTCTTCTCCAGGCAGCTTCATAACCACTCCTTCGCTTCTTTCAAATATCTCCCCAACATTGTGTTATTTTTTAGAAGATTATGACTGTCTTAGGCACGCCTGGCTGGCTCAGTCAGTGGGGCATGCGACCCTTGATCTCGGGTTTGTGAGTTCAAGCCCCATGTTGGGTGTAGAGTAATAATAATTAAAAAAAAAAAAAGACTCTGACTGCCCTGTATAAACCATCTTCTCGCAAGTCGAGCATCCCCTTCCCCAATACACAGTCATATGCTTCGTGTAGCACTCTTACCATCAGACAGTCTATGTATTCACTTGGTGGCTACTACATGACACACTCACATGAATGGGAGCTCCCTGGGGACAAGAGTGTTGCCTTTGTTCTTTCTCACTGTTATATCCCCCATTGCCTAGAACAGTGGCTAGACCCAACAAGATGCTCAGTAAAGACTTGTTGCATGAATGACTGGATGCTTCCTTAAGAACTTTGGTTATCTTTTTCGGGGGGGGTTTCCTGCCTGGCTCTGTCAATAGAAGATGTTACTCTTGGTCTCAGGATCGTGAGTTTTGAGCCCCACGTTGGGGGTAGAGTTTA